ATGTCGGTAGCCAGATCCATTATCACACCTTGTCCTATCCGGAAGTCCCCACCTATTTAGGCTACATGTGGACATGCAGTTAGTGACCTAACTCATGAAATATGTCAAAATTTACGAATGATTGCCAAGCACTCGCAAACTGACACTATTTCATGAGTCCAATGTCTATGTAAATTAAGAACAAGTTTTAAAGGAATTTAAAACATAAAAAAATATAAGAGGCAGTGTAGCGTTGTTTAGAAATTCAGATTTATTTAGAAAAGCGCAAAATTCCGAAAATGTCAGAAATGGTTTTAATTTAGTAAACTTCGTTTTTAGATGCATAGAATGCATTTTCATACCAAAAACGTAGTAAATATGAAGTAAGAAATAAAATAACGTTTAATAACAGTGTTTTAGTGAGATTTACATCTAAATATCATTTAGTAATTAGTGTGATTTTATATATGGCGGTTTCTCGACTGCCTAAATTATGGGTGTAGATTTCAAAACAGTTTTCTAGGGTTTCGTGTTATCCTTGACTATTTTCAGTTAAATGAACTGGGGTTCAACAAGAGAAACTAGATTTTGCTTGATTTCACCGATGGGGACATCGTAGGAACAAACGTTTTCATAAGGTGACATGCCATGAAGCCAGTCTGTGCCTTAATATACGTCGATCACGCAACATCATGTCAATCTCTGTAGCAAGCATATGATCTACTCCGCCATTACCGTCGGGAAGGGCGAACAGTGGCACGTCAGTACATTCAAGCCGGCATCCTGAGGTAACTGAATTATTATAGAGTTCTACTGCAGGCTGATTAGCTTCACAACTCTACTTTATTAATCTTTTCGAAAAGAAAACGCATTCTGGAATTTCGGTTGACATTTCATGAGTTAGCCCACCTACGGTATGCCTGTCGGCTTAAGATCAGAATGGATAGCAAATATTACAGCTTAATTGTACCATCAATAAGTAACCTGATGTGTGAAAAATCCGCCTCGAGGTCGCAGGAAGCGAAGAATCTCCGCAAAAGACTCAACTGACAGGACACGCGAGGCAGCAGTACTCCAAGCCTAACCGTAACTTCAAAGGTAAAGTTGATGCTTAACATAATTGTCAACCTAACGCTAACCCTAAACTTAACACTAAACCTAACCCTAGACCTACCAAAAGCGCTAGCCCTTACCTTAAGCCGAACCTGAACCATGACTCAAATCCTTACTCTCACCCTCAACTCTGACCCAAATTCCAACCTAACCTTAAACCTAACCCAAACCCTAACCTTAACCTATCTTAACACTAACCCTTACCAAAACCTTGACATTACATGTAAGCGTTAACCTCAATCCAAATCGTGACTCAAACCGGAATCCTTAAACTTAACACGAACCCTAACCCTAGACTCAATTCTCACCCTGACACTACCCCGAACCCTAAAATAAGCCCTACCTCTAGACCGTAACGTCGGGATGTTCTTTCCCCTTTTAGTTTTGGCTACAGTTCCACTACAGTTCCACGATTACAGCATCCTCCTTTGGCATACAATACTTTCAATGCCAAATTGGCGCTAAGGCTTGAGACTAGGACTGCGTAACCGATCCGTTAGGTAAGATAAGCTAGAAATAATTATGCAAGTACCTTTATGACATGAATCTACCGCCTCACACGAGCCACGCACAGAATCGGCTCTCCCAGAAGTGTCATGAAGGCGAAATTAGCAATGAGCCAGTGCAGTCGAGTCCACGTCCCACCTGAGGATCGGATTGTGCCGTCAACAAGCAACCGTCCAAACCCGACTTTTCATGTGTCCGGACACGTCCAAGCACCTCGGACATGTTGAGAAACTGGGAGACACTGGGGTAAGTAGATGGCTTCTTAAACGGCCAGGACACAGGTAGCATCAGGCGCCGGATCATTAATGCAGGCAGATTTTATTCGAAAGATATGCAATCAACGTGCGATCAACCAGATGGCAACACTTAATTTTTCCAGCCCTTCGCAGCATGGACCAGATTAATGAGGCTCAGTATAATTCAGAATTGACCAAAATGATCATCCAACGCACCTTGAAATTTCTTGTCGTTGAGCAAGTCAAAAATACGTAAAAAGACGACAGCATTTAGCTTGCCGACATTCTGCTACATGCATTAACACTTAAACGTATGGTCCCTCTAACATACGGCCTGTAACAACATTTACTGACATCATCTGCATAGGTCAATACACAATACCGGATGCCGACAGACGAGACATGCAGGTTCCAGTAGATTATTCTTGTGGCCCTGCCCACAGTGGTCGAGAATATTAGTACTGATGGATTGGCGTCCACCAATCAGATTACTGAAGGTGCACATCCCGTTGTCCCGTGGCTCAATGGTAGTGTGTCATGCTCAAAAACCAATGATCGCGGGTTCAAATCTCAAGTGCCCCACATGCGGGGCTATGTATGAATGTATGATGACTGCTAATAAGCCAGAACTGGTCACCCGGTCTCCCTTGCTCTCGTCGGCAAAGTTCTGTGATAAAAAGGAGGTAGTCTATAAGATACATGCGATGCCTACGATGCCGTAAATTGTGGCCAAACAAGAAAATTTGCCTCTACACGCATACACGAACACCAGCTGACAATTATGTGGCGAGGCCACCTGTCTTCAATGGCCATGCACACCCTTGATACTGGACACACCTTTGCATGGGATAAAACTCGCATTGTCGGAGTTTGCCCATCTAAAAATGCCGATAGTTTCTTGAAGCCGTACACTCCGATGAGTCATGCATCAATAGGCACATCGAGTTACATGCCAGGTACAAAAATCTCAGGGAAACGTGGAATATACGAAAGCATATGGATACAGACTGACGCACATGGCGGCCGCTTACTGGCTGAAGCACCAAATGAATATTGATATCTCAGCACGTTTGAAATGCTAATTGTTTTTTACAAATTTACTCGAGTCTGGCGACGACACGGAGAACCGACGTCGAAAATTTACTCGATAAAGTTCTCTACTTTTTCCAGAGAACGCATTTGCTTTCAAATTATATTTCTTGGGATGCTTACGTCCTAACTCATATATATACATATACATCAAGTGAATAATTCCAGAAATTACTCACTGCAAAACGTGGACTTAAATCTCCGGGCCATGACGTTTTAGGGTCAGAACCGAAATTTCAATGAACATTTGAGTCGAAGACAATCAACTACTGTGGAATAACCACGTAATGCCCATTCTACAAACAAGTAGTACTACGAGTAGTGTGAATTCCATATGGTAATGGTAGTATACCGTACTCCCGACCTAGATACTTGCTAAAAGCCCAGACACGTGTTTCGCCGATATTCTGCCGCTGCATGACAGAGCTGCGAGGGATTCGGCCCTTCAGTGGTAGAATACCTTTACCATATGGATTTCATACCACTCGCAGTACTAACTGATTTAAGAATGGGCATTACGTGGTTATGCCACAGTAGTTAATTGTCTTCGATTCGAATGTTTATTGAAATTTCGGTTCTGACCCAAAAAAGGCATGTCTCGGAGATTTAATTCCAAGTCCTGCACTGATTAATTTCTGAAATTATTCACTTGATTATTCTCTGGAGTTCATATACCAGAAACCGCATAGAGAACGCTGGGGGTCCAACTGAAGAGCCGAATCCCTCGCTGGTATGTCACGCAGCGGCAGAATATCGGTGAAACACGTGTCTGGGCTTTTAGCAAGTATCTACGTCGGGAGTACGGTATAATCCCTTTAACATATATATATATATTGGAACGCAGGCATCCCAAGAAATATAATTTGAAATCAAGTACGTTCTTTGGGAAAAAGAGAAACTTTATTGAGTAAATTTTCGACGTCGGTTTCCCGTGTCGTCGTCAGACTAGAGTAAATTTGCAGAAAACAATTAAAATTTCAAATGTGCTACAAAATCAATACTCATTTGGTGCACTCCGATGAGTCATGCATAAACAGGCATATCGAGTTAGATGCCACGTACAAAAATCTCAGAGAAAAGTGGAAGAGACGAAAGCCGATCAATACGGACTGACACACACGACGGCAGCTTACTAGCTGAGGCACCAAATGAGTATTGATTTTGTAGCACGTTTGAAATTTTAATTGTTTTCAACACATTTACTCTAGTCTGACGACGACACGGGGAACCGACGTCGAAAATTTACTCAATAAAGTTTCTCTTTTTCCCAAAGAACGTACTTGATTTCACTCAGGAATGGGCGGACACCGATCCATTGGTTTCCCGAAGCAAACAAGCTCCGTATGGGCGATAGGGGTCACGAACAGGCAACCACCTACCAGGCCGAAGTCGGCCAAGCTATGATAGCAGAGGGGAGACGACAGAGTCTGGGGGTAGATTGATACAGCACTGTTTCGGGCTTGTTTGCTTCGGGAAGCCAATGCATCGGTGTGCGCCCATTCCTGAGTGAATAAATACCCGATCTGCAGCGACAGAGAATGGCAGGTGGCGAGGCACTGATGAACTTCGGTTTGATGAAGTGCTTATGACCCATCTGGTAGACCCCAGTGGTGGACCAGCTGCGCCAGGTGCGTCTGAGCGCATGTTTGTGTTTCCGGTACCAGCTGCTGGTGGTCAGGGTTATGATTGGCTGAATGAAGGCAAACAAGCCCGAAACAGTGCTGTATCAATCTACCCCCAGACTCTGTCGTCTCCCCTCTGATAATATAATGCTAAGGACGCTCACCGATCCTTCTTACGGAACTCACTCGTTCTGTTGTGCCTTACGGGCTCTCTGTCTCGAGCCCAACCAGCGGCCGCACAGCGGCGTATAATATAGGCAGTATGGTATTACCGACAAAGACAAGGGACACTGGAATGACCATTTCTGGCTTATTAGCCGTCGTCAGCCAGTCATACCCAACCCCGAGGTGTGGAACGCCTGGGCCCATGAAAGTTACAACAAATGGTTTGCCTGTGAGTTTGCGTTTGTCTAACATCTCCAGAAATGTTAGTTTTCACTCTATTTTTCAACACTTATCCTTCACAGTAGATGTCAAATTCACAGAAAATACTGGAATTAACTCTCAACTTAAAAACTCTAGAGGCAGAATAGGTCTTACGCTTGCTTCGTGGTGGTGCTTCCGGTACAGATTGGTCTACAAATAAAAAATCACGAGATGCTTATCAAACATATGAAAATGCTCATAAATATTTTCTTGCTCATTTCTCAGTATAAGAACTCCATTGGGTCTAGTGCAGGCTACAGTCGCATTTGCGGATATGGTCACCGTGCCAAAGCTTTTTCGCCTACAGCTGTCTGATTTCTGCTTTAAATTTCGTTAGCTAAGCACCTGATTCTTTTCTGAAAGCCGCCTCATCTTATAAGGCGCCAACTAGGAATCATTAATCATTCAATGACCTTCAGATATTATTATTCACCCGGAGTACCTGTTCACAGTCACTGCATATTTGAAGTCCTTTTCGTGCGCTCTTCGATAACCCAGTCCACAACTATGAAATAACGTTTCTGCTGCGTCTACTCTGGAAGACTGTTCATTTTAGGAACCATAAGTTTTCACTTGTCAATATATTCTAAAGATTAAACATTCACTAGTAGAATGAAATGCACCTCAGCTGAACTAATGATCAGAAACGATGGGCAGTTCGTTAATTTAAAAATTGTCGCAAGCATTCTGAAATTTGACGCCACACTGCGCCACTGTCGATGTTTTTGCATGACCAATGGGCTTACAAGGATTGCAATTTATATCCTCAGGGTTTTCCACCTAGAATGAACGCATGACCGGTACGGAGAAAGACTTTAAAAAACCGAGGTAGGTCTGTCTGTTGAATTGCCAAGTAGAGCTTTGTACTTGACAGATGACATGCCGTGATGCAGACAGCCACAGTTAGGTGTGCACATGTGCCCACCTTGGTTTGCGTCCTCGTAATAAGTACTCCGTTTTGCAGGGTGGTAATACGGGTGGGGCGTTTAGACCCGCCGACTAAATCCAGATGCCTAGAAAACCTCGCGAGCACTGTGAAATACGCAACCACAATGCACTGCTATCAATTCGATCGAAGTACCATTTCGCTCGCGACAATTGCAACGGATGATCAGAGAGAGGTCGTGGCAATTACATGAACGGATAGAAAGGTTTTAGGGGAAAAAGTTGGTCTGTCTGTTTGGTTCGTACTCCACAGACCTCAGAAGGGATAATATCCTCCGGTGGTACTGTCGATCACAGTTAGGTGGTCAGATGTGTCCTCCTCGGCTTACAGCCTTTACTTGCTTACTGCATTTTAAACAGCCCCTAATCCCAACTCCAGCAGTATTGTATCCATCAGGTGAGGCTACATAAGGACACCTTACCCGTTCAAAATAGAGTCTTGTCAACGGGCTCGATTGTCTGAAGCCTTGCCATAGTGGAGGGTGATTCGAGTGCGCACAAGTCGGTAAGTCTGCTTACCCTCACAGCAATGAACACTGTTCTTTAATAATCTTTCCAAGTTATCTGGAAAGTTTAATTTACATGCAAGCGTGTGTGTTCGATGTTAAGCATAGAAATCGTTATCAGGACAATCGAGAATGCATTAATGACGTCCCAAATAATCGTTTCTGCTTGAGTTATCTATCAGAATTCCGTGCTCTGAAGATTTCTTAAAATGACAACGCTTACACCATCGGAAGTTTTCTTTAAGCCAGCCTGTTGTTCGACCGTGGACCTCACTCCCAAGTGAAATAGGGACATCTGATACAATGGCTGTATTCACAAGGCAGCTGGATCGTTTGATCTTTGATAAACGACGACTCCCATTGCAGGACTATCTGCACCCAGCCCTGAATTTTATTTCCTGATTTCATCCCTATGTAACGCGTTCCTGACGTTTCATGAGATTTCTCCTCGCAAACTACGCAAATGACTGCACTTTATGCTGATTGTATATAATTGCACTTAAAATTTCATATGTACATGGAAAAGAACGTATACCGCACCATTCGCAGTCCAGCACTGTAGAACCTTTTTTTCCGTAAACTAATATGTTACTGGCAAAATGTTGGTACGATGTGTATTTAACATTTATATTGTGCGCACCGTTTTCATTAGGGTCATCAAGGGCATTGCCGACCACCCTAAAATATACTATATGCATCTCACTGCGTGCGCGCTGCGAGATTAAAACAGAACCTTCTGCGGGGTGTGTCGGGCCGGCAAAAAACAAGTTGGCACTGTGTCACCTTTGGCTTATTTAGATGCATCAAGTATGCCCAACCTTATGCTGAATTAGAACTTCAACTGGTCTCAGTATGCTTGTAGCGGGCAGCCATCATGACCGGTCTGGTGACATCTGTCCTCCTTTTGCCACATTCTAAGTGAAGCCTAGGGGTGTCCAGGGGAGAATGGTGTACCCAGAGGCAGGCCTGAGCGGGGAGTGTGTTTACGGCTCCGGTGTTCAGGGAATCATCCGGTAAGTTTAATCATAAACAAGCTGACTTTATAAAACATTAAATATTATGAAACCTTTTTTCTAAAATCATGAGCAGTGCGACATCGACGACTGCATTTACCGGTTTCCAGAAAACAGCCCAAACCTCAACCGAACCCCATTCACCACGCACGGTGGTGACACACATCTCATTACACAGTCGTCCGCCCATCTTCTTCCAAATCTGGCCTCGTTCATCGATCTTTCTCAGTAGAAATCATTCAGGATGTAAAGTAATTATTATTTATTTCCTAAAAAATCTGAATTATGTCTTGTAAATACTATTTTTACTCTGGTAATCTCAAGCAACTTGGGTTATCAGTTGCAGACTTTAGTTCGGTCGAACCTATCACTTATAGGAAAGTTTAATTAATCATGCACGCGGGCTCCGGAGACGACTAATCAATATCGCTTAAACTCAGTAGGGTTCCAGTAGACACAAATGCCCTCTTATAAATACTAGTTTTATTAAATTTAAAAGTCGAAGAATTTCCTACCTGTACTTTCCTGCATTTCGCCTAGAATTGATCTGCGGTATGCCTCCCTCGTTCGCGTACCTAAACGAATGACTAAAAAGTTGATTTCAGGCCGATTTTGGGAAAAGTTAAGGTAAAGTATGTAGGGTAATATCCCAGGGACATGTTACCCGTCGTCTTGCTGACTACAAACAAACCTTTTTTGGGCTTCTCGTCAGAACGGTACAGAAGCTGGATTTGTATAGCAGTGTCCGCTAAATTACCACCCGACCTCTGTAACCTTGACAAATACGGTTGTTATAATACTACTTGCTTTATTTCAGTAGCCTTTTAAATTGCATTTCATATTGTTTCCAGTCCATCGCTTATGCTTACTGGCATGCACTTAAGCAACTTTTGTCGCTGGAGATATTATTCATCTCCCTGCACTCGAAACGGCCACTGTACTACTGCTCGTACCACAAACACTGGAGACAGTTTGTTTACCTGTACAGAGTTGACGCTTTTCCGATTGTTTGCTACCTTTATGATGCCTTTCCCAGTTTCTGAGATTTTCCAGTTGCTTGTAAACAAATAGGAAGTTTAAAGGTGAGGACCTACAGTTCCCTCGATAAAAGCGAAAAAAGAGTCAATAATTTTATTAAGTATAATAAATCGCCGGGTTTAGTCGTCTATGTTGGATTGTCATCTTCACATCGGAGATACCAGACGGAAATTGCAGAATCGTCCCAAGGAGACTGCACTCTAACCACTAACTTCTAAGGCACACTTAGGGAGGTGGGAGCGATCAGGAGGTTCAAACTGACAAGACGAAGATCTAGGCCAGTCTACGTAGAGCACCTTAGTAGATTCTAAATTTAATACGCAGGAATGCCTGCATCCCAGATGCTGGCAGTTGCATAAAGAGGCGAGTCAGTGAGGAGGTGGTACGCATCCAATGAGAACCCTAGAGTTCCCTTGGAATTAACCCTCACTATGCAGTTAAGTAATCCAAACCTATCACTCTGTGGCTGTATGACCTTAGCCTGTGTTACCTTAAAATTTACTCCTCCCGTTGTAGGCTGAGTTTTGAATATTAAAATTTAACCATAACAGAGAGCCTTGTTGACAGGCATTTTGTAGCTTGTGTACTCAAACAAACGGCATTCCGACACAGCCAATTTGTTTACAATTGAATTCACATGTGAAGCCAGACATCGTGAGCCATAAAGCCCCCCCCCGTTCAACGTCGCACATGCTAGACTCCACCAACTCTCCTTTATAGTATCTATTCCTGAGTTTGAAACTACTGATTTATATTCGGGCGCATAATCACGTCCTTTCCACTAGCAATACTGGCAATCCTTCTTACAACCTTATTGTTGCAGCTGCAGCTGTTTATCGCAAGAGATTTCTAAAAATACTCAAATTATAGTTTTTTTAACTGGCTGTCGGATGTTGACCAATCACTGCAGACTAGGGTATTTGGCGCAAAGTTTCGATTCGCTAAGGTTTTAACTGAATTTCTAAGACCGTTTAACCGAGACCTCGACGAAGATAGTGAAATTCGGGACCAAGAGATAACTTCCCATGTGACAGTTGGTTAGTCAAATCCACGCAAATTTCGACTTCCTAAGCTGTCAGACAGAGAAGCGACCATCAGCGGCGTGATGCCAAGCCCAGTTAACGAATGCCAAGTACTTCAGAGGGTCATCTAACCTCAAGCGAAAGTCATAGAGACCTTTTCAATCTTAAACGTGGTGCTCTGATTATTGCGATAAGCCCTTAAAAAGCGCCAGAAGAAAAGACTTGCGAAATCAAAACTATCCTTCATGTAGACAGGGCTGAGGGGATTTAAAACACGGAGGAATTTCAACTGCCACAAACACTAATAACTGCAGTTTTCAAGGAAATTTTGCAGACCAACAAAGTGTTATTTGACATAGAGCGCGCCATGCAAATCAAAGAAGAGCCGCCTATTCCAGCGCGCCATCCAATTCTATTCTTGTCTCAGCGTTCGTGTGTGTGTGAGAGAGAGAGAAAGAGAGAGAACCGTCGAACATCTAGCCAAAACAGGGTGAGACCGTGAGCTCCGTAACAGGGGCCCAAATCTACTTGAACCTGCCATGATTCAGCTCCTGGTATGACTAACCGGTCAGATTCGCGAAGAGTACCACACGGCAGAGTGCCATTGCAGCTCTCAATCACAGCGACTGGGTGTTATTTATGCAAACTCTAGTGCCTGCGCAGACCTTTCCAGTTAAGGAAATTTCTAACATGACTGAAATGCTGAAGCGTAATACGGGCATCATTTCAGTCAACTTTCTGACCAGCCGGAGGAGAACGCCACCGAGAAGGATGGAACAGTTAGGCAAATTTTCGGTAGTCCCGTCCCCTTCCACTCTGTCTGAGAAGCTAAGGGGCAGACATCGGCTCAACAGGTGAGCAGAGGTCGGACGCAATGCGCAGAGTGTTTACTCCAAGTCCACTTGATTGTTAATGGGAGAAGAGAACGCACCAACGCACTTATTTTATGTTTAGCCGTACTGCCGGGGTTTTCCAGGCCAAAAAAGCTCCTCAAACACCGCCTTAGCAATCAAGGCACAGGTATGCTTGTGCATTTGCTTGCACTTGACCCAGTCCCAGCAGACATTCCCGCTGAAGTGGTCCCGTCGTTGCCATAATTTACCCTAGCCATGAATTCTTTTTATTGGAAGTTTCCCGAGAAAAGAGTTTTTAAATCCTCCTAAACATTCCAGAAGCGCCGTCTGCGCTGATTCTGCTTATCTGAGTACAGTACTTGGGCTAACTCATGAAATGTCAACCGAAATCCCCAAATGTGTTTTCGTCTCGAAAAGGCTAATTAAGTAGGGTTGTAAAACTAATCATCCTTCAGACTAATTTTATAGTTATTCAATTACCGCAGGATGTCGGCTTTCGAATGAACTTCCTTCAGGCTGCATGAAAAACTACACTCTGTAAAAAATGACTACTCATGTAGCATGAAATTTTCTCATCGATTTTCGATGCCCTTAAAAGTCTAATCATATTTCATGGAAACCATGATGAAAATACACATTCTTTCGCTCATTCGGTAGAACATTACGTCTTCTTCCAATTTTACACTCGAAGAAATAAGATAATTCGGCTTTAAAAAGTTTCTAATTGTGAGACTTTTTATAACCGTGAAATGGCCGTTCATAAAAAGTCAGGACTCTGCATTTAGCAATGTGGCTTTTAAAGTTAACAATATGGATCAAGCACAATGTTAAATGTGTTGAACTCTATATGGTCTCCTTTTAATACTATAGAGATGTGTGTGGTTTTCCGTACGCGGAATATATACAGCTTGTAGTTTGGAAACCCCTAATGCAAGTGTGACGGCAGAGCGGGTTCAAAATTATTCGGGAATTGGGAAAGTTTTGAAAACAAAATTACACCGTTCTTTCGAATATAAAATCAGAAGACGTAATTTTCTATCGAATGAGCAAAAGCATGAATAATTTCTATGCATGCGTTTCATAAAATATAATCGGACCTTTAGGGTCATCGAAAATCAATGAAAAAAATTTATGCCACTTAAGTGGTCATTTTTTACAGAGTATACTTTTTGCATGCAGCCGGGAGGAAGTTCATTCGAAAGCAGGCGTTCTGCGGTAAATGAATTATTATAAAATTATGCTGTAGGCTGATAAGTCTTACAACCCTACTTAATTAATCCTTTCGAAAGAAAAACGCATCCCGGAATTTCGGTCGACATTTCATGCGTTAGCCCATCTACTGTACCAGTTGTTATGTGTCACAGCTCAAGTTCGGCGTTTTTGTTCAGCCGAATTTCACTGCGCCACTGTCTAATTCACTAGGACATGTTTTATTTTCAAGAGTCTTCAGGAATTCATATGACGAGGCTTACTGTATCTAGGCTGAATTCTGTCTAATGTGAATCAGTGCACTGCTCTTGACAGGTATAATCCAATCTGCCGGAATTGTCACGAGTCAGGTATATAATCGACGGTGAGGTTTGTTCTGCAGCCCCACTTAATTGATGCCATATGGTTAGCTTCCTAAAATAATTTTACTTAGCGTACCTAATTTAGTCACCCGCTGGATTAGGAAAGAAAAGAGAACACAAGCTCAGCTCGAAACACGCGCAGGGATGCGAGTGAAGATGGCGTGTTCACACACTCCTCGCGACAGAGCCACTCGTTGGATTAGTAGGATAAATAGGGTGCCATCACGACTGGAAGGCCACGGATGGAACCGCGTGGTAATTTGCAGTGCATGGCCATTGTAGTGCAACCGACGGAGTTCCAATCCATCCAAACAATTCCATTAGCAAAGCCACTTACATACTCGCTGGATTAGTATAATAAAGAGGGCGTAAGCCGGGTTGGATGCTCGCGCAGGGAAGCGCGTGTGAACTGATACCTCATGTAAACGAGGCTGGCGTATAAGCACTCCTCTCCACGTGGCACAGTCACTCGTTGGATTAAAATGGTAAGAAAGACGCAAACGCGTACCTGCATTGGCTAAAAGTGTTTAAGGAAGCCGATCGTATGGTATCAATGAAGTTGAGCTGCAGAAACAAACCTCGCCTAATCGACTGCTTAAAGAGGCTAACTCCTAAAATTGCCATCATATGCTCTCGTGAGACGGGCGACCACCACGGAGGATGTGAATTATACTCATCTTTTTGTGCCTTTGGGAATTAATTTATAGGCCTCAGAGGCGAAGAAGCTATCCCACTTCACCCCGTTACGGAAGTCATTTCAGTCGCCCTCGTCAGGGTCGGTACCATTTCGTGCATCTACCTTCTTTAGATGGTTCATACTTCTTAAAATCACTAATCCCAGTTTTTTGCACAATATTTAGCACTTCTCAAAATTTACCTGCAGTACTAATGACAGTGAAATTGAGATAGTCAGAAGAAAAGATGGCGAACGAACGTTGCTTTCGATAACAACTTGTCAAGCCAGTACAGTTATATGGGACGGAGTACAGTGAGTGAAAAAATCGATAAAATTGAGACGGTCTGAGGTGGCAGCCATGCATCTGCTCATTCACTTGCTCCTCTGTAGCAGGTTAAAATGGCCGTACGAGTCGGCGCCTTTCCAAAGGAATAAGAGAGCACCTTCCGGCATGGTTGGCAATTGCTGAAACTAGGAGAATTGACAGCGCCATTCTTGCGCATGCAGTGGATTCAGGGCATCGTGTGGATCCCACTGAGGCATTTTGTGTGATTTATAAGGTCCCCTCGAACTACCCTAAACTACTGGGCCAGAGCTGTTAGCAACAGCAGAAGCGGTCGCAATCAGGTTACGAAAACGGACCCTATGCGCCCAGAAGAACCTCGCTCAAGCTCCGCGCTTACCGTGGTCAAAGGTTGACTAACCACATACAACTTTCTGCGCCCTTCCGCTCCTGCCTAGCCTGTCTTTTAAGAACTAAATTTTATCGATTTTTTCACTCACTGTACTCCGTCCCCTATAACAGTAATGGCCCGACGAGAAGGTATTGAAAGCAACGTTCGTTGGCCACCTATTCTTCTGAATATAGCTATGAGGATTTCCACAAGGCTGAGATTGAGATACTCGACAGAAAACAGTTCATGCCTGAGTAAAGAGAATGGAGACTGATTGACTGTCCATCATACTGGTCTTTTGGTCTAATTTTTAATGGTTCTCCGGGGACTTTTCGAGACAGAAGAAGTTAGTGCGCAGACTTCTGTTTTCCCAACCATTCACGGATACCTGAAAGAGAGATAGGAATAACGGCGCATCTGTATGCGGTCGCGTTAGCTTGGGTTGCCGATTCAAGTCTATTTTAGGCAGAACTAACCAAAATAAAATAGGACTAACATCCACCCGACTGCAAAAGGCATTGATCATAAAGGTAGTCAGTCATGTCAGGGTCGCCCATCGCATACTTCAAAATTAGTCACCTTGATTTTGCTGTTGCATAATGAACTGCAGTGTCCATCACAAGAACAGGTCTAAAGGGCGTAGAGGCCGGATGGTCGAACGCTCGAACCACCGACCAGCCTACTCTAGTCTGCACTCTCACTGTAGCCACTATGCACCATTGGAATCACTGTACTCATTGTCATCTACTTCCTACCCTCGTAAGCAGTGTCGTATAAGCTGCTCGGAACCGAATGAGAGAAGAACGTTTGTCGTGGAATCGTTTCGTAAGAAGGTCAGTAATATTTGGGAGGGGAAGCATACTGAGGGCCGTTAATGTTCGTTAGAAGGCGCAGTTCACTGCTGTCGTTCTTTCGGTGAGCGGCAAACAGTAGGAGGGCTAACTCATGAAATTTAAACCGATATTCCGAAAAGCGTTTTCGTTTCGAAAAGAATAATTAAGTAGGATTGTAGAATAGATCAGCCCGCAGTATAATACTACAACAATTCCGTTACCTCAGGATGCCGGCTTACAAAAGAAATGCTTTCCGGCTTCATGCAAAAATTATACTCTGTAAAAAATGACTACTTATGTAGCATGCATTTTTCTCATTGATTCTCGATGCCCTTAAAAGTTCAATTATATTTCATGGAAAGCACGAAACGAAATATTCATTCTTTCGCTCATTCAGTAGAAAAGGACGTCTTCTTGAAATTTTTTACTCGAAGGACGGAGATAATTCGGTTTTAAAAAATTTTCTAATCGTGAGACTTTTTCTAACAGTGAAATGGCCGTTCATAAAAACTCATGACTCTGCATTTACCAATGTGGCTTTTAAAGTTAACAATGTGGATCGAATCCACTGCTGAATTTTATTAACCCTGAATGGTCTCCTTTTAATACCGTAGAGAAATGTGTGGTTTTCCGTACGCGGAAAATATACGGCTTGTAGTTGGGAAACCCCGATTCCAAGTGTAACAGTGGAGCGGGTTCAAAATTATTCGGAAATTGGAAAAGTTTTTGAAAACCGAATATCACCTTTTTTTCGAGTGTATGATTGGAAGAAGACGTAATTGTCTACCAAATGGGCCAAAGAATGAATATTTCCATGCCCGTTTTCCATGAAATATAATTGGACATTTAGGGGCTCCGAAAATCAATGAGAAAATTTCATGCTCATTAAGTAGTCATTTTTTACAGAGTGTAGTTTTTTGTATGCAGCCGGAAGGAAGTTCATTGGAAAGCCGACATCCTGATTTAACTTAAATATTATAGAATTATGTAGCAAGCTGACTAGTTTTACAACCCTACTTAATTAATCTTTTCGAAACGAAAGCGCATTTCGAAATTTCGGTTGAAATTTCAAGAGTTAGACCACCTACTGTACATATGGTGATTTAAATTTCATAGCGGGTAACGGTAAGATGTGGTTATGTAGCCCCAACTGCAGTAAAAAAGCCCCAGCCCCCTGTACTATAGGGCTGATGGTAATAGGGTGTTTTATGGGTGGAGCCGGGCAATGTACAGGCGACAAATTCGAGTGGTTATATGCAAAAGAAAAGCTATTGAAAATGCGCGATTGTACATGTAGTGTTTGAGAAATAGTTCTCCAAACCTCTAAACCCTAAACGTGACCCCTAGCCCCAACACCAACTGTATTTTATCCATCAGGTGGGGCTACATAACCGCATCTTACCTGGGTAATTAACTAAATGTACTTTTAAAAAGATCATAATGAGACTTTTGCAAACGCGACGCCTTGTACATGCGAGGTCTTCAACGTCTTCAGTCTTATATAAACTCAGAATAATAAAGCCCCACAACACACAGCAGATATCTTTCCATCTTTAATTCAAAGCCGAATAACTTTTACGCCAGAGGTCAACTATCGAGACATAAAAACCTGTGACATATAGTCACATCATTACTTAAACGAGCATGTACGCAGGATTGGGGCATTAGAAATAGACTCGCGCACTTACTTCCGAAATCAGGGAGAAACGACTGTTCCTTGCGGTCCCCTCTTCTCTTCCATTCGGCATCTGGATGCATAAAAGGAAGGGCATTAAATCTTTACAAACTATTTTACACTCAACAGATTTGACAAAACACACTCTAATACGCGTTTGGCGAACTTCAATAAATCAAAATATAAATCAAAGCACGCATAAGCGATTCCCCCTGCTCCACTACGGTATGTTGGAGCATGTGGTGGACATTGTCGGTAACGACGATCGAACTGTCATGTCACTTTAACGAGGAAGTAGGCAGGATTGGAGTAGTAGAGATGGAGTTGCGCATTTACCTTCGGAATCAGGGGGACTCCTGTGCTCCGTTCGATTAAGCTGGCTAAGCAAAAACAGACGTATATTTTCTTTGTATCCTGTCAAGTGGCGAATCAACCATCTCTGCACACAAAACACCAGTGCAGTCAATATCACTTGCTGCCTGTCCTCATGAGCGACGTTGTGTAAGCAACAGTAGGTGGACTAACTCATGAAATGCCAACCAAAATTTCGAAATGCCTTCTCGTTTCGAAAAGATAAATTAAGTAGTGTTGTAAAACCAATCATGATGCAGCATAAATCTATAATGATCCAGTTACCTCAGGGTGTCGGCTTTTAAATAACTTATTTTCGGCTGTATGCAAGCTCTACACTCATTTTCTCATTGATTTTCGATGCCCTTGAAAATTCAATTATATTTCATGGAAAACATGCAGAAAAATATTCATTCTTTTACGTATTCGGTAGAAAATCACGTCTTCTTCCAATTTCATACTCAAAAAAATTTAAGTCGGTTTTAAAAACCTTTTCTAATTCCCGAATAATTTTGAACCCGACCTGCTGTTACACTTGCATTCAGTGTTTCAAAACTACAAGCTGTATATGTTCCATATAATCAGTAATGTTTAGGAGGGAGCCTGAACTGAGAGCCAAAAGTGTTCTCTAGAGGAGGCAACCCACTAGTGTAGCCCTCTCTGTGCGCGGCCTGCAGTGCAGTACGGCCAGTCATCTTTATGACCCAATGATTCCTGGTGTGCAGTGTGGCCTCAAACTTACAGTGGGTGGGCTAACTCATGATGGGTCAACCGAAATTCCGAAATGCGCTTTCGTTTCGAATAGATTAATTAAGTAGGGTTGTAAAACTAGTCAGCCTGCAACGCAATTCTATAATCTTTCAGTCACCTCAGGATGCCGGCTTTCGAATGAATTTCCTTCCGCCTGCATGCAAAAACTATACTCTGTAATAAATGACTACACATGTAGCATGCATTTTTCTCATTGATTCTCAATGCCCCTAAAAGTCCAATTATAATTCATGGAAAGCACGCATCAAAATATTCACTCTTTCGCTCATTCAGTAGAAAATGACGTCTTCTTCGAATTTTATGCTCGAAGGAGGGAGATAATTCGGTTTTAAAGTTTCTAATTCTGGGACTTTTAAATACCGTGGAATTGCCGTTCATAAATCGTCATGTCTCTGTATTTACCAATGTGGCTTGTAAAGTAAACAATATGGATCAAATCCACTGCTAAATTTTATGAAACCTATATATTTTCCCTTTATGACCGTAGATAAATGTGTGGTTTTCCGTGCGCAGAAAATATACGGCTTGTAGTTTGGAAACCCTGAAGCCAAGTGCAACGGCAGGTCAGGTTCAAAATTATTCGGGAATTGAAAGAGTTTTTGAAAACCAAATTACACCTTTCCTTCGAGTATAAGATTGGAAGAGGACGTAATTATCTACCGAATGAGCAAAAGGATGAATATTTCTATGCATGTTCTCCATGAAATATAATCGAACTTTTAGGGACATCGAAAATCGATGAGAAAAATGTATGCTACTTAAGCAGTCATTTTTAACAGAGTGTAGTTTTTGCATGCACCCGGTAGGAAGTTCTTTCGAAAGTTGGCATCCTGAGATAACTGAAATATTATAGAATTATGTTGGAGGCTGACGAGTTTTGCAGCCCTAGTTAAGAAATCTTTTCGAAACGGAAACGCATTTCGGAATTTCGGTTGACATTTCATGAGTTAGCCCACCTACTGTAGTTATACAAAATAGGATAATAGCACTTTGTTACGCTCGACCCCCCGTCCATGCGAGATCATTAACACCTTTAAACCTAGATAAATTCAGTATAAAAAGAACACCACAATATGGCGGCTACCCTTCTTTTTTATCCGCAGTCGAATATCTTTTAAGCCGGAGCTCAATTCTTGAGGCATAAAAACGTGCGAAATATGTTTACATCACTACCTAGAGGAGCAGGTCAGCAGAAAGAGAGTGTTAGAGCTGGTTAGTTATCTCTGGAATCAGCGAAAGACGACTGTTTTTTTCCTACCTTCTTGCTTCCGGTTTATTTTCCCCTTTGGTGATGTCCCTGTACGTACAAGTAGAACTACGTTAAGGCATTATGAACTGTTCCACTTTCAGTAGACTTGAGTAAACACTTGCAAAATAGGTTTTTCACATATTTCTCTAATCTAAATGATTCATTTCTGAAAACCGTTGTGGCTTAAGTTGGATTCTAACCGTTTACAGCAAGGATATGACTTTGATATAATCAGCACTCTAAGCAGCCCCCAGTGGACAAGTCGCAACTCAGTTGGTTAGGATGGTGATTGTAAAAAAACAACGTCCTCACCGTAAAGAATTTAAATCCCACGAAGGCCGCCGCCATTTTAACAACTGGAGCAATTGAATGCTTCGTGTCGTCCAGCTTTTAGTCAGCCTCTACTCAGTAATTCTAGAATGCATCCCCAAATACGTCACGATCCTTCAGTACGTTTCAATTTCTTATACAAAATTCGGGCACCCGGCAACCTTCAAATGTTCATGCGCTACCTGACTGTGATGCGCGAAACTGGTCGTATATATTCGGACTCGCCCCAACCGTAATGGCAGTCGGGAGCTTTTAACGCCTTTGTCTCGTTTAGGTTCCACAAAGGGAACACTGTAAGCTCAGTCTGTAACGAGCGAACAACGTTGTAACGATAAGAGATGGTACAGTTCAGGAATGGTTTAAGGAGGTCGGGTCTGGAGATGAGAGCCCCAAAAATGCCCCGTGAGGCGGCAAACTATCCATCCTATTGGCAGGGCGGAGAAAGACAGATCGCGGAATTACCTATTAAGTCTAAATGAGAAGGAAGGCTTTCTGCGCGGCATAATGTGTGATCTTCTGCCTGTGGTATGAAAAAAGAAACTGCATGACCAGTGAATGTCCCCCCCTCCGCAACTTACACTAACATCCGATAAAAACATAGATCGAAATAAAATCCTTACAATAATTCCGAAACACAAGTGACGCACTTCTCTAAGCAGATTTTACAAGTAAATGCACAAAGGGGTCCGTGCGAAAACCCGACCTCCACCCGAGGGAGGTTTTGGCCGTTAGTTCAGCAGTCTATAGGGTGGATTCTGTGCTCCCTCTTCGCCACTCCCATTTTCCACTTGAATAATCAGATGCGTGAGATCACGCCGGGAAAACGGAAGTAAAAAAACCAAATATTTCGCCAAGATCAAAAACACAAAGGCAGTCCGTAGGACTTCATAAATACCACGCCACTTCGCGACTATACTATACTCACTTGAAAATAGACATTTTGAACACCACGTATTGTTATACTCAAAGATATACACTTCGTCAACATCACTTTACAAATGATCTGTAGGTCGGCAATATTTTTATTACTGCTTATGCAATGTATTAGAAACTCAGCAGAATAGTACAATACTTTCGGAATCACGGGCGACTAAAAGGTAGTGTCGATGAAATGTGTTATGTGTCCAATGCTTCAAAGTGTCAAATTTCAACCAGATAACACGCATTAAACGGGTTTGGCGATGTTGCGGATATGAGTGTTGACGCATAACTAGGGTTGTAAATTCCTCAAAGCACTTACAGTGAGATTTAGGTGGACTCAACTAATACCTTATCAATATTCTCCGTGGTACACACTTTCCAGAATTATAACAATGTCACACTTATAAATGTGTGAGTTCTACTAATAAAACGCACGGAAGAATTATTCAGTGGATTGCGAAAGCTAAACGGCTCTACGGACTTCGTAACCATATCGTCACAAGACTATCTTAAAAGCCCAAACCTCCTATTTTAGTCAGGGTGCGAGTGTGCGTATGGAGCCCCGCCAGGTGCAAATTGGTCTACAGCATTGGCGACGCAAAAGAAGTCGGCGTCGTGAAAAGCAACGACTCCGATGACACATTTTTAGGGGCGTACGTGGTGCGTACAACATCGCGAACTTGGCAGCAACCTCACAGCTAGGAGGTGTTCTCAACAGCAAAGCCTGGAGGCAGGCATCACCCCGGGTCTGTTTGGAGTTGTTTGTAGGCGCTCATACACACGTCTTCTTCCCGACTCTTACCTATTTTATTTGCCAAACCGCTTGTGAATCACTCTAATTTTAGCCCCGCCCTCTGAAACCTCGTTGGCGTCCTGCGCTTAAAAGGTATAAAGTGGTCGAAATTAAGCAGTTGCCGAAAAAGGCCCGAGTTGTTTCTAGCTAATGACATATCTTATAATAACTTAGTGTTTCGGCGTGTTTAAAGCTCTAATACCAGTGCAGCGCACTTTGCCAGGGCTCCAAATTTTGTTGAATGACGTTGGATTTCTTTTCTTGGCCATTGTCGGAGGCTGTTGGCTATCTGAATGAGCGAACGACACTATTGATAACCGTCTCAGTCTGCGCGCATGGACTGACTAAAATGTTTACGAATGTTATTACTCTAGTGTGCTAACTCACCAGCCATTCTGAACGGCCATCGGATTCGGATATGGCGGCAGACATAAGGACCTCTCAGAAAGCGAAGACCAATCAGCACCCTCATACTTAACAAACACTCCTAACAAACCGAGAACGCCTGAATCTTTGCTTCCGACCGCGTCTACACGCTAATCAGGACTCTGGCAGCTATTACTTACTTTTTATAAACAAATGGTCCTTTTGCTTACCCGTCCCAACTCTCACTTATGGCATTTTAGAAGGGGTCTCGGATGCTTTTGAGGACTGTCATGTAGACAACTTATTAAAACGCATCGTAAATGTATGCGAGCAGCGAAGAAACTAAAGTTGGACGTCTTGAGCGAATCATCTCTGGATATCCGTTCTAAAAAGCCTACTAATCACATGAAAAGACGCAGAGGAAGAGAGCACAACTTTTAATACTAAAGTACAATGCACGGTGAAATATAGCAAATATTAGCCATGATATCCACCACCGCATGCAATGTATGGATTGAAGTTCACACCAAATAATTTAAAGTCCTATGAGATAAAACGATTGTGGAAGTTTACAGTACACTAAGGCTCTGTGAAAATAGTCAAATATAGCTTGCAATGAAACAGTATTTATCGTTTTGGCTTACAAGAAGTCCTGAAAACTGTCGACGCCGTACGGCGTCAGCTAATGACACAAGTGCATGATTAACCTCGTTCGGTAATTTAATATGCTCGGAAGTCTGTTGAACGTGACTATGGTTTCTGGAAAGCGTCTAGGCCCCAAAAGTGTTTGTGATGGGCACAGGCTTACCGGATTCACACAGTTTTTTGCGTGCACGGAGAATCTTTAATTAGGTCAGTTTTTGTAGACACGAGAACAGCATTAATACACTGCATAAATATTTCATTCTTTATTTATAAAGGTTTTGTGTAGGAAGTAAATGATTTTGATGGGCATAGCAGTGCACACATGGCAGATGACACCCAAAGCATAAGTTTTTTTCGACATTAAGCGCCCATTTGCCCTTCAAAATCATCGAAAATTGCTTAAGAGGTTACTGAGTAAATCTGGAAAGCGTTCAAAGAAATGTACAAGGAGTGGAAATATAAATTGCAAGGTCCCCTATCAACACATGGCCCCGTCACTACCTGGGACTACGTCGCGGCTATGCTGGGCTAGGTCCCTTGCAAATTTAGTCAAACGTAGCCCGTTGTAATGAAGTCAATGTGTTTTATGTCTCGCAAATGTTTTGTTTTTACAGTTAGATATATGTTGTATGTTCTATACAATACATATCCGGGCGATTGAAATCGAACGTCATTCTTCTCTATGCCGAATATCGGCTTTGTTTAAGTGAGTTATGTACACGGCCACGTGGAGGACACTTTTACGCTGACTATATGCACGCAGATCGATATTCCCGTTCAATCGATATTCGATACCCACATCCACGTGATCGTAGTACGTTATCCAATTCCTTTTTCATGCTTCTCTGTGATGGAATATGTCACTTTTTTAAGAAAAAGTTTTGTTTAAGTCGCTATAAGTGGACTTAAACCTACTGATAAGAATAGCACATCTTCGGACTGATTGAGTGTAGTGTATGCCGGAGCAATATTTGTTCGTGCTATTTATATGCCTATTCGAAGCAAATATGGGTCGGAACTACTGGAGAATTCACCGAAGCACCTTGCACAAGATGAATAAGTGTGCAAAGATGGCGTTTTATGCCGCCACAGAAGATCCTTCACTAGCGTCTACGTCCTCTCTGGTGGCGGAACGATCTCCCGAAAGCCAGATGTCCCACCCAAACCCAGAGGTTTTCGTTTGTAGGAACTTCATGCGTATGTGATATGATGGTGTAGACGACGGCCAAACTGATGAAAGCCCAAACCTGTTTAGTGGCAAATGCTTCTTAATGGATTTGAAGGAGTGCTGATTGAGGGTCAAAATGCCGCGGTCCGTAGCGAGGTTGTTGCTCCATGTGTTGCAGCCGTGCCACCCAAAGGCCCGCGAACTCTAATGCAGACACCCCGAACATGCGTTAGCCAGTCTCTCTCCAACGGCAACTGGGTCCATTTAAGCCTTAGATGTGGTCTTTTGAAAGATCTCCAACTTCGGACGTCAGCTTTGCTTCCGACAATGCGGGTGCAGCTGCACACTGACGGGATGAAGTAGTTTAAAAGGAATGATCAGTGTCTATGGCCAATTCTCGGCTGCGTCACCTAACCCGTCATTGGACAGCCGTTTGTTGTTGGAGTATTCTCAGGTTCCGGCAAGCCTGAGCCCTTGGAGGTCCTTCTGGGCCAGTGCATCTCGGATCTTAAGAATCTTCTGACGAGCGGCCTCCAGGTCCCAAATACGGATGACATAGTTAAGGTGAAGCTCGCCAGTGTCATCTGCGAAACGTCTGCTCGCTCGTACGTCCGGCCAGTAAAAACGCATAATGGATATTACGACTGTGACTGGCAACTGGCCTAATGGGTACAAATGTTATTCTCCTATGTGCTGTCATATGGAAATGCCCGTGGCAAACCTCATGACGTTCCTGGGACATAGTGGGCGTCTGCGCGATGACAGGTCATACTGCATGAGAAGTCAGGAGCAGCATCACAAAGGTACATCAGCTTTCAGGGACTTGCCCATCAACATGGTGGCTTTCTTTCCAATTAATTACATGCATCTTGTGTGCTTCAGTGTCATGCGGAAGCTGCTGCACATGTGACCGCTTGCATCCAGCAAGAAGGTCGCTTCAATAAATGCCTCTATTAAACAATGCAGTCAAAGTCTGTCAGCCAAATTTCCTCACAAGCGCAAACATCTAGACTATCTGGAACATTAGAAAACTGCGAAATACCTCCAATTTTTCTTGCGCACAGGCACTGTTGCGCTAGCTTCCTAGCTTGACGAACGAATAAAAGAAGAAAGTGTTCATAAAGGTACCCCGATACCATGGTCGTTTCAGTGCTCATGATCAACCACTTAAGGGATAAAATCAGATATACAAGAGTTCAACGGCATTCCTCAGCACCAAAAACAAAGTTTAAGATGCTTATGGTTAATCAGCAACAAGTAGTAGGTTCGATCGTTCCTTTCATCTATTTATTTAAACAAATTGGGAGAAATTCAGCGATTTTTGTAGGATTCGAACCCATGGCCACAGGAGGAATGATTGGGTACACCCAATCGTCTGAACGCAACAGGACTCTTGGTGCCTAAAATTCGTTTTCCCGGTCTTGAGTCAGAAGTCCGCTTGAACCAGATTTTGCCGAAAAATATTGGGCGAGTTTCGACTGGCAAGTCAAACTTTGCATAAATGCCACTGTTTCAAAACTATAATTGGCAGATTTAATTCTCTTCTAATTCATCATTGGATACATATTATTGGCTAACATCTACTTAAGTTTTCCGAGTTTATAAAGTATGGAAAAAATAAATACCTTCCTGCATCGAGGCGTTCGTAAAATTCTCAAGGTTTTGGAATCTAGTCCGTTGATAGAGTAAAACAAATTACCTGGGTTCATTATCTGTCCGAGTTAAAACAAAGCTTAGTCTAAAGACGCCCGAAAATTGCCATGACTTGTTCAAAAACTGTATAGCACATAAGCCACCTAACAATTGCTGAGGCGCTCAACAGATATTTAAAATTGGTTGATGGCGAGACTGCCGGCACAGTCATTTCTACCAGGGGCAGTCTAGCTGTACCGTTGCTGCATGGGCACTCTGATTGCCGGGAAAATTAAGGACAACAAATCAGAAACTGTGAAATAAAAAGACCGTGTCTATCAGGTAAAGAGAGAGCAAACATACAACTCAAAAACAATGGCCAAAATTACGACTAACTTTGAAACCGTACACAGTTATAAAAAGATGTCGGAAATGGCATGTGGAAAGCCTGACTTTAGGAATGTACTGCACAGGATGCCGGAAGCTAAAGGTGATGGGATGGCGCTAGGGAATATTTGTTAAAAAATAATTAGCAAATTAAACTCTAGTTCCAGTCAAGATAATAAATCAGGATCTGTTCTGAATTACAAATTTTACACATGAAGGAGGTATTTGCGGCCTTGGGAAACTGTCTTTATAGAAAAATTTGCGAAACGTTTCTATGTCGGAGGTAATACATAAGATTATTTACTGATTCTACGGAAGGTACGTACTCAGGTCTGTGTTCTACACTTTCGGCCAGTCTTCAGAGCCCCAAATTATTCCTTTCTTTAAAAGGGTCTCAAGCTCTGAATTTAACCACATGGGAAAATACCGCCCCACCGTTCTTTTGAAAGGCCGTTTTAGGTCAGATGGTCTATTCAGTAACGTTTAAGCCTCCCCTGTTACTCATTCATCAGCCCACGTTTCCTACTAAACCAAATTTCTTTGCCACGCGTGTAGTCTTCTGTGCAGATACTTCCACCGCTGGGAGAAATGGCGTTAGCAGGACGTCGAACATTCGGAACATTTACTCGTTAGGCCCCACTGGTGGAGGACGATGCCTGTTATTCACAGTATCTTCACATACATGAAAGTAGGATCGAAGCATCTTGCCCGTTGTCCTTACCTGTCACCCGTTCTGAAGAAAATGCTGGTATATAAGCCACAGTTCCCATTTACGGATGGTCGTAATGGGTGTATTAAAACAAGCAGAGTGTGGTTTACGCCCGCCGGTCGATACCCGGGGCGTCCATGCTTGTGCAAAATTTGTAAGGTTCTGTTATTTTCAGGAGAGTATGTTGCTTTAGCGTATAAGTACAGAAATTCGTCCTTGCCGTTTCCCGGATTTTGTTCTCTGTCATTTTTGTAATTTGAACGCAACCTTCCTAACCGGAGCTAAGTAATCCTGTTCGGAATATTTTTGGAGTTTTGTAATAATAATAATTGTATGTAATGCCAGTTTACAGGCACTGTCATAGAATGATAAAGCGCGGATCATGCAAGCATTGAAAAAAACTTTTGATGAATAAATACAGAGGATGGTTGTTTGTAGTTTGGTAGGCTCAGGAGAAAAAACTGCTTCCCGTGAAAAAGCGTCATTC